TATAGTCCGTTTATACCTATACTATAACTATATATAGTGAAAGATATACCCCAGCGTCTAGTAACTTGCCAACTTACTTACAGCCATAATCAGTTGTATTTATAAATATACACGTATTATCCATATCTATACTAAAGGTATCTTATATAATAATCATAATATACAACTTTAACAGCATAATCAGACCTAATCAATACGCACTATAAAATACAGATAAGTATTATATAAGTACTATTACATATATACTACAATATGAACATAACTACTATAAGATATCGCACGCCAAACAGCACTGATAATAGATCCATATAAAATAATAGATAGATGAGATATAGCGAGAGAAGGAGACGATAGAGAACATATGATACAGATAATTAAGAGACAGAGAGATAGATAGGGATAGGTAGTAGGAAGGATGAAGGGAGATAGTAGGAGTAAGAGAGAGCATACTAGATAGACATGATAGAGATGATAGTATATGAGAGATACCGAGATATAACAAGAAGATAGAACGAGAATAGTAACAGAGAGAATGATATATTGAGTAACTGAAAGAGCTAATAACATACGATAAGGAGGCCTATAGAGGGTAATAGGGAGTGAGGCAGGGATAGGATAGTATAGTATAGTAATATATAAGATATAGATGATTATAAAGAGGGTATAGGATAGGGAGTATATATATAGGGGCAGGAGAAGAAAGGTAGAGAAAGACGAGATGAAGAGAGAAAGAGAGAGAATGATAGAAGATAATTGAACGACGAGAAGAGAAGACGACTGAGAGAGAGAAAACAGGAGAGAGAGAGAGAGAGAAAGCAGAAAAGCAGAGAGAAACGAGAGAGAGAGAGAAAGACTAGACGAAGAAAAGAGACGAGAGAGAGAGAGAGAGAGATGAGAGAGAAAGATGACAGCTGAATGAGAGAGTGAGAGAAGAGATGAGAGAAGAGAGAGAAAAGAGAAGAGACTGAAGAAGAGAGAAGAGGAGAAGAGGAGAGAAAAGAGCAGAATCATGCGAGAGAGAAAGAGAGAGAGAGAAGAGAAGAAGAGACTGAGACGACGACGAGAAGAGAAGAGAGAGAGCAGAGGGAGATGAGAGAGAGAGAGACCGAGAGAGAGGTGGCGGGAGGGGGAGAGAGAGAGAGAGGGCGGGGGGAGGTGGTAGAGAGCGAGAGAGGTATCGATGAGGAAGAGAGAAGAGAAAAGAGATGTGAGAGGAGAGAGGAAAGAGAGGGAGAAGAAGAGAGAAAGAAGAGAGACGAGAGAGATGAGATGAAGCAGAGAGAAAGAGAGACGAGAGAAAAAGAATGACAGAGAGAAGAAAAAGAGAGAGAGATGAAGAAAGAGAGAAAGATAGAAGAGAAAAGAGGACGAGAGGAGAAAGAGAGAGAGAGAGAAAGAGAGTGATGAAGAGAAAGAGAGAGACAGATGAGAGAGAAAGAAGAACGATGAGAAAGAGAGAAGAAGAGAGAAAAGAAGAAGAGAAGAGAAAGAGAGACGAGAACCGAGAAATGAGAGACGAGAAGAAGAGAGAGAGAGAGAATGAGAGAGACGAGTTGAGGAGAAAGATGGAGAGAGAGAGAAAGAGACGAGAGGAGAGAAGAGAGATGACGAGAGAAGAGGAGAGAAGAGATGGAGAAAGAGAGAGAGAAGAGAAATGAGAGAGGATGAAGAGAAAGAGAGGAGAGAGAGGAAAAGAGAGCGAGAGAGAGGAAAGAGGAGGAGAGAGAGCAGAAGAAAGAGAGAGAGAAAGATAAGATGCAGACGAGAGAGAGAGAAGAGAGAGAAAGAGAGAGAGAGAGAAAGAGAAAGAGAAAGAGAGAGAGAGAGAGAGAAAGAGACGACGAGAGAGAGAGAGAGGAGAGAGAGAGAGAAGAGGAGAGGGACGAAGGGAGCATATATATTAATAAATGAAATAGTATATAATATATATATATATATAATAATACAAGGAGATGAGAGATATAGAAGTAAGTATATAGGTTATGAGATAGTGAAGTAGGTAGAGATAATATATAGGAGATGGAATAAGAAGTAGTATATAGAGTAGATAGGGGTAATGAGGAAATATAGTAATAAGGTAGACGAGATGAAAGATAGGATAAGAGAGTAAGGTAAAGTATAATATATAATAGCAGTGAGAGAGGATATATTAAGGGGAGTAGAATATTAAATGATAGAGAAGAGAGATAAGAGGAGAGTAGTATATAAGACCGAGTAAAAATGATAGATCTAGAGATTTGATTATTTGAGAGATGTATTAAAAGATACAAAGACTATATACGAGAGGGAGAAAGAGATAAAGATATATAATATATATGAGAGAAAACATAAAGATAGAGAAGAGAAATGATAGAGAGTAGAAAAGAGAGATACGAGAGATTATAAGAGTATAGAGAAGAATGATATTATATTATATATATATATATTAATATATATATATATTTATAATAATTATATATATAATTAATTAATTAATTATATAACATTATATAAGATATATACATATATATTATATATATATATATATATAATAATATATATATATTAATATATATATAATATTATATACAATATAAATATATAGTATATATATATATATATATATATATATATTAATATATATATAATATAAATATATACTATATATACAATATAAAATATATAATATATATATATATATATCATATATATATATATAATATATATAAATAATAGAATATTATAAATATATATATGAATGAAGAGAGAGAGAGAGATGAAGATAGAGAGAGATATTATAGATGAGGAGATATAGTATATAAATATATATAGTATATATATAATGTATAATATAGTATATATATTATATACAGAATTCCCTAAATGAAATACGATAATATTGCCGTATATATAAGAAATACGAAAATTCCTTTATATATTAAGAATAAGGACTAGTAAATCCCTATATAAAATAACTATAGTAAACCTTATATTATAGAATAATAGTGATCGAATAATATTTACCCTATATCATAAGAAAGACGTATAATTCTACTTTAATAGAAATACGGAAATATATTCCCAATGGATATAATTGAACGAATAATATTTCCCATGAAATACGAAATATATTCTTATATAATAACAGATATATTCCTATGATAATATATTAATGACTATGATAATAAATTACCTATAATAGACGGAATAATAATTGTCACTAGAAAGTAATTACGATAAATGTATTCTCCATTAAAAATAACTATAATATAATACAAGAAATAATATTCCTATGAATATATTATAAACATTGTAAAGTTCCTAGGAAATTAACGGGAAATATTATTCCTAATAATTAATGAACTAGGATATCTTATCCCTAGTTATAAAAAACTGGTATAAATCCTATGTAGATTATATGACTAATGAAGTTCTACTATAATGAATATATATACGAAATTCTATAATGATATATATAAACCTAAATTCCATTATATAGTCGTATTAATTTCCCGGAAAATATACCGAAATTTCCCAGAATATACGAAATCCGTATAAATGACGAAATATTTTTCTAATATAATGATAATATAGACGATTAATTTATCTAAAATATAGCGGATATTACAAATTTCCATAGAAATAGGACGAAAATATTTACCTATAAATGATAACATACGAAATAGTAGTTATCTAATGAAATATGACGGAAAATTACCATGAATATGACGTAATATAAATAATTTTGTCTCAATTATATACAATATGAAAAGCGGGAAATTTCCTAGATGTGAGATATGACGAAAGATAGACCTATGAATATGACTACGTAAAATTTGCCTATGATAAATCATGACGTAAATCTACTTTTAAGGATAAATGAATATGACGGATATAATCCTTGAGAGTATGACAAAAATTTCTATTAATAGATATATACAGGAAACTTGCTATGAATATGACTGAAATAATTCCTATTATATAATGACTAATATTACCTAGGAATTAATGTATCACAGTAATAATTATTCCCTAAGAATATAGCGAAAATTTCCTAGAATAGTGAACGAAATCTTATAATTAATATATAATATGACGGCGAAAAATTTCCTACATAAATATGACTGTAAAATTGCCTAGTGAATATACGGGAATAATCATATAAAAGAGGTGAAGAGCACGAATAACTTCCTGATGAAGATATTGAACGAAATGACTATAAATAGACGAAATTTCCATGAATATGACGGAAATTCCCCATATGAATATGACGAAATTTCCTAATATGAATATAGACGAAAGATATTTCCTATGAATATGACGAATTCTCCTACTTATACAATGTTTACATTTGTTATATATAGAATATATTATACTTTATAGTATATTATATATATATAATGTAATTTATATATGAAATATATATAAGATAGAATATAATATTTAGAGAGATATTAT